AAAAATTTAGATGACAAAAACTTAACTTTTACTACATACTAAAACCTCTTTAATGTAATTTCAGTCCTCCTCAGATTTTGAATTTTTGATGTCACAATTTACATCTTTATATATTATATATGCCTTGACCAATGGTTACCATTATTTTTACAAATTTTGTCTTTCAAACTTTATACTAAAGATACAAGCAATTTATATACCACCATTATGTTATTCGTCTACATTTGATCTTGTATTTACTTCACCTATGAGTTTTACACTCTTAGATGCTCTCAAGTTACTCATTAGCTTCCTCTTCTTTCAGCTTGAGGAACTCCTTTTAGCATTTCTTGTAAAACAGGTCTGGTGATGATGATCTCCCTCGGCTTTCCTTTGTGTGGAAAGTCTTTATCTGTCCTTCATTTTACAAGAAGAGCTTTGTTGGGTGAGTATTCTTGGTTTGCAAGGATTTTTTTTCCTTGATTGTCTTGAATATGGCACCAAATTCTCTCTTGGCCTATACGATTTCTCCTGGTAAGTCTGATATTAATCATATTAGAAGTTTTTTATATACTGTTTCTGTTTTCTTCCTGCTTTGGGATCCTGTCTTTGTCTTCGATCTTGGAAATTTTATGGTATGGGGTAATCTTATTTGGATTAACTCAGATTGAAGATCTTTAACCTTTCTATACATGCATATTTACATATTTGTCCAGATTCAGAAAGTTTCCTGATATTATCTCTTTAAATGCCTTTCTACCCCTTTTTCTCTACTCTCTTGAATGTCAACAGCTCATACATGTGCATTTTTTATGCTGTCCCATAAATGTCGCGCACTTTCTTTCCTTTTTATCCTTTTATTACTCCGACCATATACTTTCAAATAACTTTTCTCTGAATTCATAGATTGTTTCTTCTGCTTGTTCAATTCTGGTTATGGTCTCTGCTGCATTTAAAAAATTTTACTCATGTATTATTGATCTCCATGATTTCATTTTGATTTTTTAAAAATTATTTTTCAATCCATGCTGTTAAAACTCACTGATAAATTTCAATTGTTTCTCTGCTTTTTCTTTAAGTTCATTTAGCTTCTTTAAAACAACTATTTTGAATCCATAAGGAGTTTATACATCTCCATCTATTTAGATTTATCCCTGGCATTTTATTTTGTTCAACTGACAACGTCATGTTTCCTCTATTGTTCTTGATACTTATCTTTTATTTGTGTCTTCAATTAAAGAAGTGGGTACCTATTTCAGTCTTTTTAGTTTGGCATTGTCTGAGAATATCTTTCAACAGCAAACGTCCAGGAGTTCTGTGCAGGTCATCTATAATGGAAGCCCGTGATCACTGCAACCACTGTGGTGCTATGGGACACCCTAAACTCCTGACTGCCACAGTCCACATACCCCAGGCTGGAATCCCATGGCTTTTGGAGCTGCCGCAGCACCATATTGGAATACCGTGGCTGTGAAGATAAACGCATCACTGGGGTGGAGAAAAAAAGACCCAAGCTGCAGAGGCCTACCTGTTGCTGAGGTTTATCAAACCCAAAGCTACTGCAGTCAGGCAGCAGTGATGTCACCTAAAACTCAATTCCTCTGGCAGAGTCTCCATGTTCCCATCTAGTACTGAAATGTGTCTGTGGATTCAAGCTACTGACCTGGAGTGAGGGCCAATGAAAGTCTGTCTGGCGCTGAATTTTACTGTGGCAGGACTAGTACTGATATCGCAGGCAAAGTCACATGGTTATTTCCCTGTGCTTCCCGTTTCTCTTCATGCTATGGCAGCTAGAGTGGCAGGCAATGTAAAACTATCTTTCCCACCACATTCAGTGGGTCTGTAACTAGTATGTTATACCAGGTTCTGTGATCTCTCGTGGATTTCCTTAGCTCTTATGAAGGTACTTTCATGGTATTTCAGTGAGGGAGAATCACTACAGAACCCTATTCTACCATCATGCTCTGCCCTGTTCTCCTCCCCTTTTTGTCTACAATTCTCTTCTCTTCTTTGTATATGATACTGATTTAAAGTCTTTCCCTAGTAGTCCATTGTCCCTAGACAATGCATTAAGGGTAATTTCTCTCTCTCTCTTTTTTTTTTTTTTTTTTTTTTTTTTGGTACCATGGATCGAACTTGGGTCCTTGCACTTGCGAGGCAGGTGACAGAACCACTGAACTAAATCCCTGGCCCCATTTCTCTCAATTTTTCCCCTCCTGTCCATGGGTAGGCAAATATTTCGTGTTGTTTGTTTGTTTGTATATGTCATAGCATTTTCAGTGAAACTGGAAAGCAGTTTCTCTCCCTGGGGTTTGTAGTTTATATTGTTTTCTTGCTGATCATTTGTTTAGCAATTTTCCTGAGCTCATTTGATAAATTCTGCATTATTTCTCATAGATAAAGAAGATTCTGTTAACTTAATGGTTAGCTAATGATTGGCCAATGACTGTGTTAAATACTAAGAGCCAATAAGGCTCCTGGACTTTTCAAGGGGGTATGTGCATGTGCAAGTGTGTGTTCGTGTGCATATGTTTTCTGGCTTTTTTTTTTTTTTTTTTTTGACAACGGTGCACTAAGTATTAGACCGACTGAATTCACCATGTAGCCCAGGCTAGTCTTGAACTCACAGCGATCCTCCTGCCTCAGCCTCCCAAGTGCTGGGATTACAGGCATGCACCACCACGGCCAGCCTCTGGCATATTTTCAACGGTCCAATAGGCTGTTTACAGTTCTATGTTCACCTTTACTTTCTGCTGGCCCAGAGCATGAAATTCAGCTAGAGATAAGCTACTAGAGTCGTCTCCATTCTTTCCTTCACATGTATACATTAATGGACAAATGTCTAATCCTGTGCATGCATAATAATTCTGTTTTCCTGCCAAGATAATATACATTAAAAAAACAGGCATTTCATTCCCCACTTTTTGCTCTTATGAGCTCTAATTACTCTCACAGTCTGAAGTAACTATGATATCAAAAAACTGCCCCATAGTTAATGTTGTCCAGAGCAAGATTTGAGTTACATGAAATAAACAGTCTCATAGAAGCTGGTTAGAGGAACTGCCACAGTTCAAATAATGACAATTTTGGAGGGATGGAGATTTTAAGGGCAAAAGGAGGAAATCTTTCTCCTCTGAAGTGGCTGCGAGGTTTCTGATTTTCAAGATTATTGTAGTGCCAACTATTGACTTTCAAGGCTACCACACAGCTGGACAAAAATTATTATAACTAGTAAATAATCTGGGTACTATCTGTTCCTGCTAAGATTCACCCTTCTTTTTTTTTCAGAAACTCACAAATTGTTACAAAGCTTTGATTTAGTTCTAGAATTCTGAAATGGTTTTGACAAAAAATTGTTACCATTCTCATGGCTTTGAATGAAGATCAGATTTTAATCCCTGTCATTATTCTGAAACTCCTTCCCTGGTCTTTTAGGATTTTCTCTAGAGGAATATTATCAAGCTAAATTGAGCTTTTTATCCTGTATTGTTATTTTCACATTAGTCAGGGATAGAGAGTGGTTTTTTCATATATTGTACAGCTGATATGGAGATAATCATCTCCCCATATTTTATTAATAAGTAGTCCATGCACTTAATTTGGAATGTTAAGTGAACCACGTACACTGTTGAAATAAACATGAGCTTGTTCCTTTTTACATATTACAAAATTTACTGAGTAAACTTTTGTTTAGGCTTGTGTTTACCTCAAGATCTAAATAGTTTCTTTGCATTTAATATTTTTGTCATATTTTCAATAAAACTGCAGTGGATATCAAACTGCTTTTGAAAACAGAAAGGTCTGAGTCAGTGTGTGGGGCTGCAAACAAAACTCTTGAAAATGAAAGTAGAAACACTTCAAATCGCTGGCATGCATAATCACCACGGACGTAGAAAGGATTTTTGTTCTGAATGTGAACTACAATTCAATGAGGACAGGCCAACCCAGAGCTAGAAGAGAGCCACAGATGCACAACAAAAGATACAGAGTCAGAAGGTAGTCACAAGGGCTGGGGAGTTAGCTCTGTGGTTTTGCTGCCTACTTCACAAGTGCAAGGACCTGAGTTTGATCCCTGGTATCAAAAAAAAAAAAAGGTAGTCACAACTGTACTAGAAAGAGAGCAAAAGTTCACAGACAGAGAGGCTACACTTGCTTTTGCCTCCAACAGTAGATTCCAATTATCCTGGAGGCACTACTAAAGCTATTTTCTATTTGCTATGGTTTTTGTTTCTGTTTTGTGGGGGGTTGTTTTTGTTTTTGCAGCACTAGGGATTGAGCCCAGGGCTTTCACACTGAAATACATCTCCAACCCTTTTTAATTTTTATTTTCACATAGAGTCTAAGTCACTAAATAGCCCAGGTTGGGCTAAAACTTGTGATCATCCTGCCTCAGCCTTCCAGACTGCTGGGATTAGAGGCATGTGCCACCACGTGCCACTTTTTTTTAAACAGTTACTTACGCAGTAATTATTTTAGCAACCAAGCAAGTAGGCACAACACACTTTTTACAGAAATGCAGAATCCCCGTAATTATTTTTCCCAGAGTTCATATTTCAAAATGACATGAACTTAGGCTTTTGACTTAATAACAAATGAAGTTTTTACACTTTCATGAAGATATTAAGGAATAAAACAATTATACATGTAAGTCCTATGGATTACAATGAATTGGCACTATTCATAAAACTAGAATATAAAACTAGAAAGCATACTGCTAACAGTCCATTATTTCGCTTTATCTTTGTGATGGTGTGGGTGCTTTTTAAATGTTAAAGTGTTAAAAGTAGGAACCTCAATTGCTGAGGCTGGTCTGCAATTTCTCTAGATAGGCAATGGCGTGGACAGTAATGAGTATGACCTGGGAAAACGATTCCTTCCTACTCTCAAAATCTTCAGTGAAAAGCATGAATTATGATGGGCCACACCAGCCCAACAGCATCCTAAACACAAAACAGTCCATACAGTCTCTCAGCGGTTAAACCCCCGAGGTTATCTCACTGTATCTCTTCCTTGGGATGAAGGAAACATCTAGAATTTGCTGGAAAAGCTGACCTCCTGCCCCGGAAACCACAGCGCCCCCTGTTGGTGGTCCTCCTCCGAGCTGACAGGAACATCCTGCCTTCCGCTCAAGTGCCCATTTTCCAGCCGCTATGAAGCTGAGCAGCCTCTCCCTGCTGGCCTTGACCATCTTGCTTTGCCTCCACATGGCCCAGCCTGGACTACGGAAGAATGGAAGTAAGGCCTGGAGGTCTAGGGTGGGTTTGCAGTAGGGAAGCTTTTCCTCTCAGGAGCCCATGGAAACAGCTGGCACTGAAGCCCCAAAGCACCTGATCAATACCAATGTGGCTTTTTTTTTTCTTTTTCTTTTTCTTTTTTTCCTTTCCTCAGCTAAATGGAAACCTGGATATTGCCCAGAGTTTTTTCTTGAGTGTGCTTTCAATGGATTCCCTGGGTGCTTGAGTGATCGAAATTGCAAGTCAGGCAAGAAGTGTTGCTACTACAACTGCCGACATCAGTGTATGAAACCAGCGTTATCTGTGGATTGAGGTGAGTAGCCCTAGATCTGCTGTTCTGTGCTGCCAGGAACCTTTCCTCAAACAGTTTGTCCTAGGGGGAGATGAGAACTGTCTGTGCCTCTAGGAGTCATGGCAGTCAGAGCTTTCAATCAACATTTAAAAATCAACAGCTTTTCTATATATCAGTAATGAATTAGCTGCGAAAGACATCAAGAACACAGTCCCATTCACAATAGCTTTAAAAAACAAAACAAAATCTTAGAGGTCAACCTAACCAAGGAGGTGAAAAACCTCTGCAGTAAAAATTATAGAGCACTGAAGAAAGAAATATTAGAAGATGAAAAGATGCCTCTTCCTTGTGCATGGGTTGGCAGAATTAAGCTGTTAAAATGGTCATCTTACCAAGAGCAATCTACAGATTCAGTGCACTCCCCTTCAAACTACCAATGACATTCTTCAAAGAACTAGAAAAAATAATCCTAAAATTCATAAAGAAACACAAAAGACACAGAAATAGCCAAAGCAATCTTGAACAAAAAAAACAGGATGAAGTCATCACAAAACCAGATTTCAAATTACACTATAAAGCCAGAGTAACAAGAACATCATGGTACTGACATAAAACTAGACACACAGACCAATGGAACAGAGCAGAGGATACAGACACACCCACACAACTACCTTCATCAGATTCTTTCATTATTATTATTATTATCATTATTATTATTATTATTATTATTATTCATTAAGTTTATTGGGGGCCAAGGATTTGGCTCAGTGGTTCTGCCACCTGCCTCGCAAGCACAAGGGCCCAAGTTTGATACTGAGTATAAAAAAAAAAAAACTTGATTGGTACATTTTAAGTATACAAAACAATGACATTCACCATTGGGAATTTGTACCTTTGCATGATACATCTTGATTCTTATTTTTTCCTCAATCCCCTACCCTATTTATTTACATAGACTTTGTTTCCATTTTTCCCTTTTCTCATATTTATTCCTTCCCCCTTTCTCCTTCCTCCATCCTTCCCACTCCCCCTTCCCCTTTAAACCTTTTCTTCCTGTTTCACGTTATCTATTATACATTTTTATCCTTATTTACACTTTCAGTTTCCCACACCAAAGAAACTATTCAGTATTTCCATCTGATTCTTGACAAATGACCCCCAAAACATACATTGACCAAATGACTGCCTCTTTAACAAATGGTGCTAGGAAAACCTGATATCCCCCTGTAGATTAAAATTAGATCCCTGCCTCACCCTATACAAAAACCAATTCAAAATAAACCAAAGACCTAAGTATATGAAACTTTGAGCTAGGTGTGATGGTGCACACCTGTAATCCTAGCACTCTAAAGACAGGAGAATCACAAGAAATGAAACTAAAATTGCTAATAAATAATTAAATAAATGAAATACTTGAAGTGACATAGAAAAGGACCCCAACAGCACAAGAACTAATAGCAAGAATCAATAAATGCGACTACATCACATTTTAAAAGTTTCTGCACAGAAAAGTGGGAGATAATCTTTGCTAGCTACACTTGTGACAAAGTACTAATATCTAGAATATATAAAGAACTCAAAAAACTTCACATCAAAAAAATCAAATAGCCCTGTTAATGTGCAAATGAATTACACAGACATTTCTCAAAAGAAGTAAAAATGGTCAGAAGGATATAAAAAAAAGTTCAACATCTTAGTCATTGGGGAAATCCAAATCAAAACTACATTGAGATTCCATCTCACCTCAGAATGGCTATTATCAAGAATATAAAAAGAGCCGGGCATGGTGGTACACACCTGTAATCCCAGCAACTCAGGAGGCTAAGGCAGGAGGATCGCTGGGAGTTTGAGACCAGCCTGGGCTACAACACACACACACACACACACACACACACACACACACACACACA